AGGCTTGGATACATTGCAGGGTACAGAAAGCAGAAAAGGGGAAAGAGAGGCTTTAAGCAGAGGAAATGTGAGTGACTTAATGGTGAAAAGAGAGATGGCTTCTTCATATTAAATCAACAGTGATTGCCAAGGACTGAAGTGGCTGTTATTACACAGCTCTGCAGAAGTTCTTCCCTTCTCCTCCAAATCTGAGGAGACCAAAGCATCATTACTCCACCCCCCCCCCCCCCACCCCCCCACCCCCCATCTCTCAAATCTTTTCCCAGTCTAACATTCATTTCTCTGCAATCTACAAAATTGACTTTGAGTCAGAATGCTCTCTGGGTTGTGGAGGTTTAGGTGCACTTCACTGCTTCCGTTATTTTTCAAATTACACTGACATTAAGCTTTTTTATTCCCCTCTGTGCACGGCCGTGGAGCAAGAATCTTCTCTTGGCTTCAGTCGACCGACATGCTTGAATGCTTTAATTTTCTTCCCTGCAGAGACCATCTAGCACCCCAATGTCAAGACCCAAACCTCACTTTAAAGGTGTGGTTCACTGAAAAAAGATTTTTTAATGATTATTCCTGATTATAATTGGTCACTCTGAGCTTTTCATGCAGGCTGAACATAAAAATAGCATTAGCTTTGGAAAGAAAATATACAGTGGAATTAGGATTTGAAAATCCATACAGATCTACATCAAGTGGTCACGTGGACTCACCCATACTGGTTCACGATGAGGAAGGCTGTTGTTGGTTTAGCGATCCATATTCAGCAGAGAACACCTCAGCTAGCAGAAGCTAACAGTTAGCATTAGCAACTCAACCACATGGTAGAAGCTCCTCCAGGCTTTGGTTATTTGTGGAGATAATACATCCATGTCACAAAGCAAATGGAGTCAGTGGCAGTCGCGTTGCTGTTATCCAATCAGATGCAAAATGTCCAAATATCAGGAGATAAGACTCCAGATCCTTCTGTGTTAAACTCTTCTCTGATGTGGCAGACTTGTTGGTGCTGATGTAGGCGTTTTTGGGCGTTTTTAGCCCTGAGTACAGCTTGCAAGGCTGTCCTACTCAGTCCTACTAAAGACAATTGCAAATGTATTCCCACAAAAAATAAGAAATTAAAATAATGTAATTTTGGCAAATTATATATGTGTGTTTTTGAGAGAGTTTTGAGACAATATAAACTATTAACCTTTTATTCATCTGTTTTTCAAAACTAAACTAATTTAACATGTCTGACAGCTTTGAACAGATAAAGTCCTCTCTAAGTTTCAGAAAAGAAGACAAAATGAGCCAAAACTTGAGAGATAAATGTCCTAGCTAGGGAGTGGAGTGTGCTTAGGACGGGCAGCACTTCAATGGAGAGGATGAAGCGTAGACAGTGATGGTTGAAGGCCTATTTATGCTCAAGTGGTGCATAAAAGACAGGGTGATTTGCATAAATAGATGGCCACGTTCTTTGAAGGATTAAGATGTGTAAAAATGGCACAACAAACATTTACTTTTGTCTGAAGAACAGAACTAACAAATGTGAAAGTACAGTTCTTGTGAAAGCGTCTCAAACAGCCAGACAGCACATCTTTAGTCTCTGTAGAGCTAAACGGTTCGGTGATACCTGTTGCTGGCCCTGGCTCTTCAGTAAATCCTCTTTCTTGCCACTTTTAGTCTTCTCTGTGGTGTTCTGCTGCAGGTGTTTCAGCTTTGAAGCAGCTGAGGAGTGAGTCTTACCAACGCTGGGGTTATTACTTCCCTAAGAGAAGGATTAAAGAGAGAAAAACAAGAGAGAACAGTGACTAAACATGAAGCACATGGTTCTACACTTCTCCGCTACTGTTTCCATCTGAGACATGTTTGACTACAGGAAGTAAAGTCTGTCTCCTGAGACCAAGGAGATCTGTAAGATGTAAGGAGATAGCTGAAAGAAAACCAAACCAACTAACTCACATAATTTTCTCCATCCATCAACAAGAAAAGAGCAGGATTTATAAAACTAAGCATCAAAATTGACGTTGCATAGCCTAGCACCACAGCAGGAACCAGGAGGCATTGTGCTTAAGGATCTCCCCCGCTGAGCGACTCCATTGACTGTCTCTAATACGCACAAAACAAATACACATTCTGTCAAATTTCCAGCCAGCTGTGATTCTCCTGCACACCGAGACAAAAGATGAAAGGAGCGCTGATGAAAGGTTTACTCTAGTATTGCCAAAAAAAAAAAAAATCCTAATTTTCCCTGTTGACTCAAGGTGGAAATTCTGGTGACAATCTGTACTTTATTAAAAGTGACAGAAAATATACAGTAAACTGTTAAATCTTCCATTCTAGCGCACTTACTAGAACACCGAGCTGCATTTGGGCTAGAGACCATGTTTCCTGTGAATTTAGTTAGCAGCAAACATCGGACATGAGGAGGAAGGAGAGTTGTGCTGAAATGATCAACGTGATTGAAGTTGGAGTGATGAAATAATGTGTGAAGACTCTGTAATCCTCTGCCATTTCCCAGCAGGAATGCTCCACGGCTCCACATCAGAGGGCAGAAACTCACCGTGACAGTGACTGTCAAGTATTACAGCCCGGCCCTGAGTGGGAGGAAACGTTCAGAGCAGAGAGTCAATACTACGCAAGCTGTCGAGACACCTCAGAGCAGAGACAGCTGATGCAGGAATGCTTTAAGCCTCCTGCTAATTACTAATCTGTGGTTGTTTTGCAGTCAGATGGAGGTGAGAAGAAAACAGGCTAGTCACAATATCTGCTGATAGGAAGTACGGTCACTGGCAACGTTCAGCCTCAGCAAGAAAGAAAGAGCTTTTTTACTTTCAATTTGCTGGATATTTATCTGAAAGTACCTAGCAAATGCTGCAGTCATCTAGCCTAGTGAACTAGACCAAATTCTTGCTTTGCAAAGAATGGTCTAGGCATGCTCCATTGGAACCTCAGCAGCTCATACCAGGACTCTGGCTAGCCAATCACAGCTCTCTAGAGGGGTTTCAAACACACAAAGAGCTGTGATTGGTCCATAATGCTGGGCCAATCATAGTGCTCTATCTGCTTAGTGAACAAATCACAGAGCTTTATCCGCTTTGTGGGCCAATCAGGGCGCTCTATACGCCTGGTGGGTGGGATGATGCAACAGAGTGAAACAAGAGTACGTCACATTCATTGTTCAGTGGAATGCGGAGATCATTCGAAAGACAACGGTAGAACCCGCCCCACAACCGAGAGCCGTCAATGGAGCGTGGCCAGACTAAATAATACATTTATTTAGTCTGGCTTGCCAGGCTAGCAGTCATCAGGATCGCCTCAGAAACCAGCCCCTCTGGGGGGGGGTATTGGCCAGAATCCGGCGATACAATAAAAATCTCAATACCGAGGAGACAATACAACATATTGCGATGCTGAAAAGCGGTAAAAACTGCTGCTAACATAACTGCACCAAAAACAAGAACTACAGTGGATGTTTGCATGTAAGTTCTCAATAGAAAACTGATCCTCTTCTTTTAAATGTCGATTCATAACATGAAATGTTGCGATATTTCACATTATTGATCATTTTTTACATCCCTAGTATCCTCTTATCGCAGTTACAACAGCTGCTGCTTTTGTCTGAAACAAGAAAATAAAAAAGCATGAGGATGATATAAAACCAACGATCAACTGGCCTGAACGTAAACAGAACACCGTCCCCTTCAGCCAGCATGCATTTGCACTGAACAAAATCCATGTTTTCAGAGCCAGAGCTTGGATGAACTTTCACATCTGTGAAGCAGACATGGCAAGGATGTTAACTCTGTTCCAACATGAAGTGGACCAAACATCTCCACGTCTTCATGTGTGCTCTCACGCTTTGAAAATCTGCCAACAACTTTTAAAATCCTGCGGTATTAACAGGGCTTGAAACTAAGCAGCAACTACACAAACATGATGGGGGGTAACTATTCAGGTCAAAGCGGAGTCATCCACCAACCTCCAAAGATAATTCATTCATTAGAAAAACACTAATGTTCATCGTTTGGACAGAGAAGATTGATAGTTTCAAGGTGCAAAAGTCCTTTTATTTCAGTAATCCATCTTAGACTGAGAGACTATCTAAAGTAGAGGTTTTCAATCCTGGTCCTGGTCCATTTGGAATTCTAGGATGTCCAAAGAAGGTCTTGCATTTCTCGCCTCTGATTGGCTAGAAAGGCTCAACTACGATTGGCTCTTTCATTTAGCAGCAAACCGGCAGTCCTCGCTAAGAGCAGACTATCCTTCTGCCACCAGCAGAAAAGCTGTTCTGGGGAGTTTTGTGAAAGAAAATGTGAACTTAGCGCTATAATAACATTCTGTCCTGTTTTGCCAAACATTTAATGTTTTATGTTTAATAAAAAAACTGATAAATGTAAAATGTGAATTTATAATCATGTTGCATTTCTCTAACTTTATCTCTTGGCTCTGAAGCATTAGAATACACATGTGTGTCTTACCTGGGTATGAAGTTTAATTAGACTGCCCTGTTCTGCCCAGCTGTGTGCATCAGGTCTGTTTCTTCTCTAGAATAATGAAAACGGGTGAAAAATAGGTCTAAATCATAATCAGCCACAACTTCATTTTTGATTAAATGATACACATTTAATCTGATGATGAGATGTGCTCTAACTTGTAAACAGCCTTAACCTATTAAAGGAGAATAGCCTAATAATTAAGAAATAAGGTAACATCAATAGAGCCAACAGATAAAGTCAGTCTACAGTGCGATAAAATGCAACAAGATTTATTACAAGTTCACATATGACATTTTTCAGGTTCTTTTATGAAGATGTTTAAGAAAGAATGTTTTTAATAGCTATGAGTTCACATTTTCTTCAAAAAACTCCTCAAGATCTGGCTGTAAACATAAAAACCTGCAGCGAGGGAAAACAGCTTCCTCTTACATGCAATAGCCCAGGGGTCGGCAACCCGCGGCTCTGGAGCTGCATGCGGCTCTTCCATCCATCTGATGTGGCTCTCTGTGCTTGTATAATAATGACTGGATATTTAAATAAAATGCTTTATATTTTACTGCATAAATTTTACATCTGTAAGCTAATTCGAAATGTAAAGATTGTCTGCGTAAACCTGAACAGGTCCAACCCGGTCTGACTGTGAGACCGGGTTGACGCGTCATGCTTGTGCGTAATCATAGGCACATTCTGAGCTGAAGAGGATGTGAGATTCTGGGCTTCTCCTCAGACGGCTCCTGGATGTGTCGCCACATTGGAGACAGGAACAAACACAATTCAGCCAAAGTTTCATAATCAGGGAACATTTTCTAAGTGACAAGTCTCTCTGAGGGACAGGGTTTGGAAAACGCTCGTATCAGTGGGAGGAATGTTCCCGCATGCGCTCTGGTTCTGCGACGCGCTCCAAGCCCCTCTCCACATCTTCAGCTCGCTGTGCACTTTATGTATGCACTGACAGTGAGCTGCGCTGAGCAGTGTCCAGCTCAGATGTTCAGATGGGAATCTTTTCTTGAGTGATTTACATCTGCGATGTGCATAACGAATAAAATGTCAGTTCGTCTGCATGCGTCGGGGTAATTCTTTCTATTCTTTCTCCGTCAAAATAAACGGTTAAATACGGGAACTGTTCGGTCAACACAAGCCCTGCTTTTAACTGTTCTGTTTTCTTGTGAAAATAGATATAATTTAACTTGATTAACACACGAGCCAGGCGCACTGCGCCGTTATCTCCATCTCTGTAAACGAGGGAAAAACAAATTGATCGGATCCTTTTCTGACCTTCCCCACCTACAAAGTTTAATTACAACAATCAAACGTGACAGAGCCTGGATTTGTATTCTGAACAGTCTAAACATGTTTCAAAAAGAAACGTATGACAAAAGTGGCACCTGCTCAGTAAAACCACCAACAGGGTGAAAAATATCAAAATATTGTAGGCAGAGACGGGCTACAGCTTCTGGATCCATTTTATATAAATCGTTTTATTGATTATCTTCTTATGAAAGATAACTTTGACGTACACGAGCGACCGGTACCGGCTGCTGTCACCTGTTGTGATTGGTTAAAGCAGCTCTCTGCTGTCTGAGGGTAGGCCCCGCCCACAACGCCGCGGCTGCTGCAGCTCCCAGTTCTTTACTGTGGGAAACGGGTAATAATGGCTCTTTGATGGGAACAGGTTGCCGACCCCTGCAATAGCCGATCGTAGAAGAGCCCTTCCAGCCAGTCAGAGACAGGAAAGGCGGGACCTTCCTTGGACATCCTAGGATTCCAAATGACGCATCCTGGACGCCCATTATCCAGCATGTTTGTTTCTCTGGCCTTAATTCAGTGGTTGAATCACATGAGCAGAGGCTTATCAAGCTGTGCAGAAACCTGTTAATTACCCGCTGATTAAATCAGGTGTGTTGAAACAGGAACCAAAACATGCTGGACCAGGATTGAGAACCACAGATCTAAAGGGTCAGGAACCCTTTGCAGGTGTTCTGGGTTCATTAGCCGATTAGAGTGTTAGAGACACTTTGAGTCTAGAATATTGAACCTTTTCACAATATTCTAATTGTCCGAGATTTTGAATGTGGGGTTTTCATAATCCTCACATTTATCACAAATAAAGGCTTCAGATATCTGGCGTTGTGTGTAATGAGTCCATCTCATTTATTAGTTTCACCTTGTGAGATTAATTAGTGACATAAATGAACTTTGCACCAAGTTCAAAATTTTTACGCTGCCCCTGTTTAAGGTACCGTTGAATCTAATCGTACATGTCATCAAACCTCCTCATGTGGAGACCACACCAGCAAAACAGAAGGAGGAAGTGATATGTGAGCTAGCTTGTATTCATGGAGAACTCAGTACGATTTCAAAGCTTGATTGCAAGAAAAGCAAAAGCAATCTGGTAAACATCCATTCACCTTCCTGTAAACATACTAGTAGAGATGACCATGACCCGGATGACTAAGAACCTTCACCAGCAAATAACTCATCTGAAGACACAACTGTTTGAAACATGAGAAGATTTCCACCGACTCTATCTAATGCAGAACTTAACATTTGTAAAAATGCCCTTTGGGCCGTTTAAATGTAGAATAACTGCTGTTTGTATAGCTCGAGGGAAAGAAAGCTCATTTCAAGGCAAAGTAAAGATACTGAGAAAAACTGTTTTTGTGGAAAAGTAAAGAGAAGAAAAGGAGAAGAGGGGGATTGTTTGCATTTTCAGCGCATTTATTTAACAAGAGGTGAAATGAGCTAAGTTCACAAAGAGCAAGTGTCAGGGTTGATCGATGGAGAAACAATTAGCAGCCTAGAGCTCAGCAGGACAGCAGCTCCACCACTAAGCACAGAACGGAAAAGGATTCAGGAAGTCTGCTGTCTGTCCTCTCAACTTATTTTCGATTTCAAATACAATTAGAGGCCGATTCAAACAGGAAGCAGACACCAGAGGCTTGAAGAGTGAAGTTCCAATAGCCATCTGCAGAGAAGAAATGAAGAAGGAAAGAGCAGGACATGTTCACGGCAGCAGTAAGTAATGAACCTGGACTGATGCTGGGCTCAGCGATGATGGTTTGGGTGGAACTGTTGGTTTCCTGGTCTCTGAAGTCAAACTGCCAATCCTTTCTGCAGGAGTGGTTTCCCCAGCGTAGAGTTTATCCGTCACTGGATGACCACTGATCTCTATCAAGGTGTTCTCCAGCTCTCTGATCGTTTCCTCCAAGCTGTCCAGCCTCTTGTAGGTGCTGAGTCGGACGTCTTGGGTCATGCTTCTCTCACTGGTGGAGAGACTGTCCTCAGAGCTACAGTGTAAAGTGCTCTCCTGCACTGTGTTGTTATTGTGTTGAAACACAAGCAACTGGTCCCCCGTCTCTATCCCTCTCCTTAGAGCCTCCATTAGAGTGATCGGTTGGCTGGGTTGGTGAGAGAATTTGATTCTGGGTTTGGGAACTGGTTTAGACCGCTCCAGCAGGGAGTACAGCAGTCTGTAGGCGTCTCTGGGAGCATATTCTTTATCAAAAAGCAGAAGGACAGGTCGTTTATTCAGCTCCACTTCAGAGACTTCTTTAGTCTGTGGTGAGATAGTAAGAGTTAGAACTTCTGTTCTCTGAAGCTCCTGGACCTCACGAGGAGACACCACCATCATGTCCAGGTCTGTCACAATCAGAGCTGTTTCCTGTTGGAACTCTTTATCCAAACAACGCAACTCCCTCTGTTGTAGAGCAAGTTCTTCTGAGGACATTTGCCCTGAACCTATAGTCTCGTAGACCAAACGACACCCACTCAGATCTCGTGCTGGACTCTCTTCTTGGATGTCATTTGTTAAATCTTTTACAGGATTTTCTGAATCACCGAGAGAAGATGGCAAAGACTCTGTCAGCACGATGTGGGGGACAGCAGGGCATTTTCTTCCCTATAAATAAAGAAAGCACTTGAGGTATAAATACACACACACGGAACTAGTTAGAGCTGGAGCACAATTATGGCACAAACACGACAAACATCAGATTGAAGATTAATGTAAACAATTAGCAAAGCACAGCCAAGGAAAATAAGAAATTAGTTTATAATGCATGTATGGATAATGTTTGTATTATTGTGCGTATGTGTGCAGATGTACAGTATTGAAGTACTGCCTTTACTATAAGCCTCTGAAACTGTCCCTCATTTATGAATCATTACAAAGAAAACATGATTTTTAAGTCACAAAAGAATGGATTGCGCTCAAAAAGGGTGCAACTCGATCAAAAAATTATTCTAATTAATTAGAGGCTTTGTAATTAATTAATCTGGATTAATCACATTTTAATAATTCAAGACAATGTGTGCCCAAGCAGTTTTTAAAATAAAAAATAATGTTAGTAAGGCACAGATGACATACTCATCTTAATTGAGTATTTTTCTGCAACCACAAGGTCTATTTCATTACTTTGGACTCATTATTGTTTTCTATTTAATTAATCATAATTAACATGTTAAATTCTCTCCCCTCATATATGTATATACACACAAGTAATTCTTCAAAGAACAAAGAGCAGAAATGATATGCTAGGAACAATAGGTGACAGTCAAGTAACTACTCTTTCGAGGTGCGGCTCATAGATTATATTCACTCTTCTCTCCAGAGCTTTAAGATTTTTCTAGTTTTCCTTTGAGCCAATCAATTGTCTGATTAAGTATCACATGTGTCGTCAGCATGGAGAGCTGCCCTTCTATCACACAACTATATTCTACCTGCTCAAAAGTCTGATAAAAGGCCTAAAATCCCAACATGCCAGTTTCCTTTGCAGTGATTGAGAGACTTTAGATGACATTGGTTAATAAGAGCTGAGATTTAAAACATTCACAAATGAGAGTGGAATGTAGGAAGCCTCCTTCCATGTGTTAAAAAAGAAAAACAATCAGGCAACTGAAGTCTAGTTCACACAGCAGAATTTTTAAATTGTTACAATTTTCAAAACATGAGAAACCACACCCATGGTGATAAAAATCATATGTATACCAGTTTTGGTCCTGTAGTGTGTTGTGCGCTGCAACTCGACAAATACTACACATTACACATAAGCTCAAGAGATCAAATGTGACTTCAGAGTAAACAAACATGGAGGAGGAGGAGGAGCGTGCTCACTTTCTGATTAGACAGACGCCACCATTTAACTGGCAGCACATTTCTGTGTCCCGAAAAATCAGACATTCCAACGTGTTTGAAAGCCTGGATTTATGACCAGAGCATTCCTGACGTCTTTCAGAGCATACCAGAATCCTCGTAATACACTGCACAATGCAGGATTATTTGATGATAATCACGCAAATCCTTGAGATTATCTGAAGGGGGAGAGCTGGTCAGAAATCACCAATAAAATCTTGTCGTGTGAACCAGGCTCAAAGCACCATCATAGATTGAATCCTGCCGTCAAATGTTGTTAAATACTATGATGTTTAAACTCCTGAAACAAGCTAAAACCCTGGCTATACGACTTCTGTCATAATTATTGGGTCCTTGCAAAAAGTGTAAGAAACCCATCTACCCATCAAGATAAATACAACTGAGCATAGAGTATACGCTAAAAGTAGATTCTTGTTTAACTGATTAAATACTAAACTAAACCCAAACTGATCATCTTTTACCTGAGAACTAACGGCTGTCTGGAGGGATTAGCCTTTCTGAGCTACCTGTTATGCTGTTACACTGTTGCGATGTTAAGCTTGGTTTATGCTTGACGCATACGTTTATGGTTCCTTCCTTCTGCGGCTTGTTTCCACTGAGAGCCAATATTCTCCCAGACTGTAGGGGCCGGCATGGGGCTGTACAGCATGCATATAACACTGCACCATAGTAGAAGTAGAAATCATTGTTGTTTATAGCATGTTTCACTGTGTCCACGTCTTTTTTGACTGTGACAGCAATTAACAATATTTTGATCACGGTGATCTTTATGGACCAAATCATAAAGATGTCTGTATTTACGAACCTCCGCCACTATGAGCGCTTGTCAGTCCTCCATGTTTTTCTGTGCAGGACCGCCCGCGTGCTCAGAAAATTTCCTAGGTGCGCGGTGCAAAAACTTTGGACCGAATGGAGTGGCGTGGTTGCTAAAATGACATAATTTGGCCGCGTGGACCTCATGGATGCGTCAAGCATAAACTGACTTTTACATTGTTTTGCTGTTAGACCTTTATGGGCTCGACACATGGAAGGCGACAAACAACCGCGATCAGCAAAATTTGTCGCCGTCGCTTTTATTACCTGACACACGGGAGGCGATCCGCGGCAGCAGCCAGCGGCAAAGCCGTCTACGCGTTCTGTTCCATGGCGAAATTGAAACTTCCGTTGTTTTGCTTGGCTGTGTCAGGTAAGTGGGAATTAAGGTTATTTAAGCGGTTCAGAGTTAATAAAGCGGTAGATATGATGTTTCACAAGGTACTGTTAGAGTTATGTGAAATCTTACTTGTGATTTTACTATATAAAACATAATAATAATCAACTTCTCCTCCATGTTTGCTCGGAGGTGTTTACGGAGTATCCTGCCCGCTCATTGGTCAGTGAATGAAACCTCCGTTGATTAGTCCTCGTCCGAGTGACAGCGATGAAAAGTTGAAAATGTTTCAACTTTCTGGGATCGCATCGCTGGGTCGTCTGTGCATGACACGTGCACGAGCGCAAAATTTCACACGCACGTTTTTCGCGTTTCGCTTCGTAGGAGGGAGACCCGCGATTATCGCTTTGTCGCGCATGTCTCATTGAAAATGAATGGAGGAGAGGCGATGTCACCTCCCGTGTTTCGAGCCCATTAGGCTGCAACGCTGCTAGGCTGCTAGGCTGTTAGGCTGTTACACTGTTATGCTGTTACGCTGTGACACAGTTACACTGTTACACTGTAACTCTGTTACACAGTAACGCAGTTACGCTGTTACGCAGTTACACAGTAAAGCTGTTATGCTCCTACGCTGTTATGCTGTTACACTGTTACGCTGTAACACTGTTACACTGTAACACTGTGACACTGTTATACTGTTACACAGTTACACAGTGACACTGTTACACTATTTTGCTGTAAAACTGTTACACTGTTAGGCTGTGACACTGTGACACTGTTACGCTGTGACACTGTTATACTGTTACACTGTTACACTGTAACACTGTGACACTGTTATACTGTTACACTGCTACACAGTGACACAGTGACACTGTTACACTATTTTGCTGTAACGCTGTTACACTGTTAGGCTGTGACACTGTTAGGCTGTGACACTGTTACACTGTTACTGTTACACTGTAACACTGTGACACTGTTATACTGTTACACAGTTACACTGTAACACTGTGACACTGTTATACTGTTACACAGTTACACAGTGACACTGTGACACTGATACACTATTTTGCTGTAACACTGTTACACTGTTAGGCTGTGACACTGTTAGGCTGTGACACTGTTAAACTGTTTCGCTGTTACACTGTTACTGTTACACTGTTACACTGTGACACTGTTATACTGTTACACCGTAACACTGTGACACTGTTATATTGTTACACTATTTTGCTGTAACGCTGTTGCACAGTTAGGCTGTGACAAAGTTACACTGTGACACTGTTACACTGTTTCAGTGTTACACTGTAACACAGTTACACAGTTACATGGTAACGCTGTTACGCTGTTACACTGTTAAGGTATTACACTGTTACGCTGTTACACTGTTATGCTGTTACACTTATTATTTGCATACAATGAATGAGGATTGCCAGGAAAACTGGAATATTTCTTAAAGTCAATAAGTCAATGTGTTTTAAGCTTAAAACAAAGCTATTTTAAAATAAATAAACAAATAAAATTGCTTTAATAAAGACAAAATTATGCACCCATATATGAGATGTCTTTGAGATAAACAAGACACATCTGTGTGAATTAATCTATTCCCTTTTAGGTAACTGTTGTAGTATGTGGTAGTAACACTCATCTGAGTAAAGCTTGTGTCTAAGTATCAGTGTGTTGGGCTTATTATTTGATGGCTTAAACACACAACGCATGCAACAAAGAAATGTCAGAAGTGGTTTCTGTTCCTGTGAGAATTTGGGAAAAGGAGTGCTGAAGTGAAAACAGCAGATGACCGAGTGTGCCTTGTTCTGAGTGTGGTGGTGGGGGGGTTAGGAAGGAAGAACAGAGACAGAGGGCAGCAGTCCAGTTTGCTGAGGGTCAGCCAGAGTTACCTCAGTAGAGCCTGAGGCCTGTAGAGGCCACAGGTCCCATCTGGAGGGGGGGGCGTGTTCCCTGCTGCTTTGGCTAACGGGGAGGATTAGCGAATGGGGACGGGGGAGCCTGATTGGGACTCTCTCAAAAAGCTGGGGAGGGAAAATGAAGGTTTAAATAGTTTATAATAATAATGATAATAATAATAATAATAATAATAATAATAATAATAATAATAATAATAATAATAATAATAATAATAATAATAATAATAATAATAATAATAAAACAGCCTCGGATTTATGAAAAAAGAAAAACACCCCGTTGGCATTTTTATTTCATTAGGTGATCTGAAATAGCAGAAGCAACAGTCAGGTTCCATCTGTCTGTGAGTGATCTGTGAGCTGAGGGTGATGATGTGTTCAACTGAGCATTATGTGATCTTTGGGCTTTCCCACAGCCCAGGGCAGGGGGACATATGGCACCTGCTGGTTGAACATGAGGTAATGATGATGAGCTTATCTCCACACACCCTTTGAGTGGACGTGTGCTCTAGGAAATCCTGTGGCATACTGTGGACATCAGATTAACTGAAAGGTGCACTTTTTGTTCTGCAGCACATGATTTATATATATTTATATATAAATCAACATGATACATCAGTGTTTTCTTTACCTCCAATTCAGCAGCAATCCTATCCTCCTCTCGTTCCTCTGTCTCTCCAGAGGCCAGAGTCGGGGGTGTGGATGCAGGACGAGGGTTTTCAGACATGGTCCTCCTCAGTTTTGTGTGGGGTTTTTGTGCCTCGGTCTCATCAGACTCAGATTTCTTCGGACACAAGAACAGTTAATAATTTATCCAAGGCCACATTATGAACACATATGAACACACCAGCAGTGTGTTAATAAATCTGAACCTGCATATATTAGGATTTGATATCTCTGTTCAGGACATTTATTTGTCTTTTTTTCATTTGTGGATTTAAAAGGCTGTAATGAGACATCTTTGGGCAAAACTGTTTACTTTTATGCTTTTTCCAGGAATCAGCGGCTCTCCGCTGCGAGATGTGAGTCCCGGTGAGGAGGGGAAACTGCGTCTAGGCGGTGGAGGTGGAGGAGACTTGGAGGGCTTCTCTGTGCGATACCTGGGTATGCTCAGCTCATCTAACCAACAGAAACAGCACCACGTCTTTAGAAACCAATGGAATCAATGATAACAACACACACAGATGGAGGGGACTTACCAGAGCCGCGCCTGGATCCTCCTTCTTTTGCAGAAAGCTTGTGTTGAGGCTTGTTTGAGCGGTGTTCTGGAGTCGCTGCTGAACCCTGGGGGTTCTGGGTTGGCGGTGTGTTGGATGAAGGCTTGATCTGCTTGGCAGCAAAATCCAGGTCTGGAATGGCCTTCATTAACTCCGCCTGCGTCTCCTCCAGCAGCCGGTTGATGTCCTGTGCACTGTACTGGGTGAGACTGGCTCGTTTCTCCTCCCAGTCCCGCTCTGCTGCCTGAAAAGTCAACCAGTTATCTGTTACTAACATAATCGCACCGTTGATGCGTTTTAATTCAAAACAGAAGGAATAAGTCCTACCAGTCGGACTTCCATGGATAAAGCTTTGTCAGCAGCAGCTCGGCGCTCCAGCTCCTCCAGGGCTTTGCCCTTGTGGGGAATGGGAGGATGATTGTCCTTATGAGAGCTGGATGGATTACCAAGACCTCGACTCAGGCTGGAGTGAGGGCTCCAGTTAGAGAGGCTGTTCCCTCCCCCAAGGTCACTGATGGTCAACGGTGGGCTGGTGGGGATGTCAAAGCCTGGAAATTTTTGCAATTCATCGTTGTGCTTTGATAAAGGATTAGTGAAGTTGTCTTGCTTTTTCCAAACCCCTTCATTTGCTTGCCTAGCAGGAAACGGAAGATAAATTCAATAAACGGCTCTCTGGAACTCATAAATCACACAAAACTTCAAAACAAATGTCAGCTAACACCATGCACATATCAAATAGGCTTAATCGCACAAATGTACACTTCTAATGAAAAAATCTTTTTAATTAGAATTGCCCAAAAAGATAAGAAAACAGATGGGCAAGCTTCAAATGAATTAAACCATGAATGAAGCTTTTTTTGGACATGAAGTGCTGGAAGGCAAAGTTCTCTGGAAAAATCAACAGACTATTCATGTGAATGAAAGAAGTTAAACATGAATGTATGCTCATCAAAAACTGTCATGTATCTTTGATAGCTGGCGTTTTGGCTGGAACACAGATGCGTAATGCTGTGCATAGCTAATGAGGATACGTTTAAATCAGGGGTGTCAAATATACGGCCCGCGGGCCGAATCCGGCCCGCAAACGGGTTAAACCCAGCCCATGAGATGGTTGTGTAAACGTTATTTTCATACTTTACAATGTAGAGTGAAATTAAACAGAGGAATTTTATTTTTTTCTATTTCAAATTTTAAAATATACTTCAGGTGCTTTGATTAATAGTGATGTTGTGGTAGAACTATTTTAGATACACTGTCCTCAGGCTCCACCTGAAGTTGGCTGCAACTCAGGATGTGACTTGATATTGATGTGCTGGTGAAAGCTAAAATATGTTAGGTAAAATGAGTCAAATATACTTTACATGCTGCATGAAACTGATCTAGCCATGTGATCTGTAAGCTCTTTGAATCACTAAGGAATGTTTTTTAGTTTATCAAATGTTCAAGTACACTTCAGGTGTTTTATTAATAGTGATGTTGTACTTGTACTATTTTGGATACACTGTCCTCAGGCTCCAGCTTTGTTTTATGTTGATTGTCTTAAAACAAAGAAAACAATCTGAAGTTGTTTTTAATTTACTGGTCCGGCCCACTTGGGACTAGATTTTCCTCAATGTGGCCCTTTCTTTTGGAGAGTCAGAAATACTATGGATAAATACTTTCAGGAATACTATAGGTAAATACTATCAAAAATACTAAGGATAAATACTATCAGAAATAGATAATACTATCAGAAATACTATAAATACTGTCAGAAGTCCTATGGATAAATACTTTCAGAAATACTATTGGTAAATACTGTCAGAAATGGATAAATACTATCAGAAATACTATAGACAAATACTGTCAGAAGTCCTATGGATAAATACTGTCAGAAATACTATGGATAAATACTTTCAGAAATAGATAAATACTATCAGAACTATTATAGATAAATACTGTCAGAAATAGATCCATAGTATCAGAAATACTGTAGATAAATACTTTCAGAAAAACTATATATAAATACTTTCAGAAATAGATAAATACTATCAGAAATATTATAGATAAATACTGTCAGAAATACTGTAGATAAGTACTATCAGAAATACTATGGATAAATACTTTCAGAAATACTATAGAAAAATACTATCAAAAATACTATGGATAAATACTATCAGAAATAGATAATACTATCAGAAATACTATATATAATTACTTTCAGCAATAGATAAATACTGTCGGAAATCATCGTCGTTGTCTTCCTCCGCTTATCCAGGTCCGGGTCGCGGGGTCAGCATCCCAACTAGGGAGCTCCAGACTGTCCTCTCCCCAGCCACCTCCACCAGCTCCTCCGGCAGGATCCCAAGGCGTTCCCGGACCAGATTAGAGATGTAACCTCTCCAACGTGTCCTGGGTCGACCCGGGGACCTCCTGCCGGCAGGACATGCCCGAAACACCTCCCAGGGAGGCGTCCAGGAGGCATCCTGACCAGAAGCCCAAATCACCTCAACTGGCTCCTTTCAATCCGGAGGAGCAGCGGTTCTACTCCGAGTCCCTCCCGAGCTCCTCACTCTATCTCTAAGGCTGAGCCCGGCCACCCTACGGAGGAAACTCATTTCGGCCGCTTGTATCCGCGATCTCGTTCTTACGGTCATTACCCAAAGCTCATGACCATAGGTGAGGATTGGGACGTAGATCGACCGGTAAATCGAGAGCCTGGCTTTCTGGCTCAGCTCCCTCTTCATCACGACAGATCGGCTCAGCGTCCGCATCACTGCAGACGCCGAACCAATCCGCCTGTCGATCTCCCGATCCCTCCTACCCTCACTAGTGAACAAGACCCCGAGATACTTAAACTCCTTCACTTGAGGTAGGACCTCTTCCCCGACCCGGAGTTGGCAAGCCACCCTTTTCCGGTCGAGAACCATGGTCTCAGATTTGGAGGTGCTGATCCTCATCCCAGCCGCCTCACACTCGGCCGCGAACCTACCCAGCAAGAGCTGAAGGTCAGAGCTGGATGAAGCTAGGAGGACCACATCATCCGCAAAAACCAGAGACGAGATTGTCCTGCCACCAAACTCGACACTCTCCACACCACGGCTGCACCTAGAAATTTTGTCGGCGGAGTCCAACCCTCACCGGGAACAGGTCTGACTTACTACCGGCTATGCGGACCAAACTCACGCTCCTCTGGTAAAGGGACTGAATGGCCCTTAACAGAAAGCCACCCACCCCACACTCCTGGAGTGTCCCCCACAGGGTGCCCATGGGGACACGGTCATAAGCCTTCTCCAGATCCACAAAACACATGTGGACTGGTTGGGCAAATTCCCATGCCCCCTCCATCACCCTTGCAAGGGTATAGAGCTGGTCCACAGTTCCACGACCAGGACGAAAACCACGTTGCTCCTCCTCAATCTGAGACTCAACTATCAATCGGACCCTCCTCTCCAGTACCTTGGAGTAGACCTTTCCAGGGAGGCTGGAATATTATTTCGGAAATATTATAGATAAATACTGTCAGAAATACTATAGATAAATACTATCAGGAATACTATAGATAAATACTGTCGGAAAAAATATAGATAAATACTATCAGAAAGAGATAAATACTAACAGAAATATTATAAATACTGTCAGAATTACTATAGATAACTACTGTCAGACATTCTATAGATGAATACTTTCAGAAATGCTATATAGAAATACTTTCAGAAATAAATTAATATTATCAGAATTTTTATAGATACATACTGTCAGAAATACTGTAGATAAATACTATCAGAAATATTATAGACAAATACTGTCAGGATTACTATAGAAAACTACTGTCAGAAATACTGTAGATAAATACTTTCAGAAATACTATATAGAAATACTTTCAGAAATAGATTAATATTATCAGAATTTTTATACATACATACTGTCAGAAATACTGTAGATAAGTACTATCAGAATGTCTGACCTTAAATTTTGACCTATTGGAAACCCTCCAATGTGGGTGACAGTAAATACGAGGTGAGAGACTTATATTCAGATATTATTTCAGTTTAAGAGTCAATAAATTTGATCCTTTTTCATCGAATTGATTTAAAAACTGAATTTTGTCTGATCCTGAAATTTGTTTGCCAAACAGAAATTTGTGACAATCAAGCAAAAACAGAAGAAAAAGGAGGAACTGTTTTGAAATTCACATCCTTGTAGATTTCTAGTATTTAATATCAACTAATGCTAAATGTATTTCTCTGCCATTTAAAAGTTTCCCAGCCTGTGTGAGAGCCGGCTCATACCTGCGCATCGTATTGAGGGTGTCAGTTATAGTCTTGCAGCGTTTTAACAAGGCGTCCAGTCTGTGTGGCTCTTCTTTAAGGAATTTGACTGCTTCCACCTCCACCCGCAGCACCACCCGCATCTTACTCTGAAGGCTTGGGAACTGATCTGCAGGAGACAGCAGAGGAGTGAGTGACCCACCATGTTTCTGCATAAACACTAATTTGTCCAGGATAACAAAACCTTTTGTTGCAACTGAGCACAACACCTTTAAATGACTCCAAATGGTCAGCGAGTTCATTTAGACAACGAGCGATGTGAGGGTGATTAAACGCTTCAGACCAACTGTGGGTGACTAACAGATAATCAGTGCCTGGGTGAGTAATTAGTGGATAATAAACTGTCCACCGGAGTAAACGACTGTTTTCCGTGTAGCGTCGTGCCCAGAATGTGAGATGTGCTGGCATGACTCACTTTTCAGCTCTGTGAGTGTTTCTCCCAGCTTTCGCAGAACATTAGCCTTCTCCTCCAGCTCCTGCACCGTCACCAGCTTGTGGTTGACAGACGTGTCCTTCTGGATCTCCTCCACCGACTTCTCCAGGTCACTGAGATGGAACAAGCAGAAGGCTGAGCACCAGGGATCCCTTAAATTGTACTGAATTTGAAGAAATAAATGTTCAAGTTTCAGTTAATCATCTGCCAATGAACAGTCTCAGTCAGTTAGCTAGAACAAAAGTTCTGAACAGCTGAACTGGAGGAGCAAGCATTTGTTAGATTTTCTGCAAAAAACTGTGGTTAAAAACACGTTTGCAGCCAACGTCCAAGTAATATGTTTCCAAGAACTCAAAGTCCATGCAAATATAGAGTTGGAGAGCTGTTATGTTGAGTGCACGGCGAGTCTGGTCAGATTTATGTCAAACAGACCGCCTCAGGTTACATGAATAAAAGCATGACAACAAAAATAACCGCCAGCCCTGAAGTCGGCGGGCAGGAAAACAAACATCCATTAGAAAAGATAATCTAAGAGTTCAACCCATTATTCAGAAATAATTCTTGTCAGAGTGAGATCCAGGAGCTCTCCTGTCCCAAACAGAAACATCAAGAATCACCAGCACAATCTATGCCTTCACAAACGAGGCTGAGCCGAGTTATCTGATTATTAAATCTCAAGGTAGCTCTCAGCTCTCACTTTTGCTCTGGCTTTAATTAGTTGCCATACAGCCACGTGTCTCAGATCTTAATGAGCATCTTGCTCAGTGCCAGGCTTAATTACAGCTACACGTTCTTTCCATCACTAAGTTACCCAGCGAGTCATCTAATTGTAAAAGAGACATGAACTTTCATTATAGCTGACACAGCTCGGATGTGCTAAAACTAATGTGCAAGATTCTCCTTGAAAGGATGGAAAATCACCTAAAGTCTTACGTAGTAGCTGTAGAGGTTCACACATCCTTACATGACTATAAATAATTCTTAATTATTACCAATAAAACAACAGATTTATTGATAGTTTTATACTGACTGGAGCTGCTGGATGATCAGTTCCTCCTCATTAAGGTACTTGAGTCTTTCCTCCTCCACAAGGAGGCGCTGTCTCTGCAGAGGATCCTCCTGCTTCCTCAGGGCATCTGCCACACGAATGTTCAACTCTGCCTCTGTGCATTTCAGTAAAGTTCTCACTGAATCCTGGTTCTCAACCTGCACACACACACACACACACACACACACACACACACACACACACACACACACACACACACACACACACACACACACACACACACACACACACACACACACACACACACATTTACACGCATGCACGCACACACATTCAGAGACAAGACCACAGGAACACTGAAGTTATTCAACTCCAATACATGAAGAGTTAACACCTGATTGAAGCTGTAATTTTTGCAACTGCAAACTGAAAATGTATGATCAGCAGATAGGAGCCTGCCGAGGCTTCAAACGATTTAAGCTTCAAGGATTTACAGAAAGTGATATACAGACGATCCTTGAGAGTGACGCTAAGTGTGTTTACTAAATGTGTAAGTGTGTTAAATACAAGTCCGAACAACTGGCTGGGAAGCTCGGAGGAAAAGAAAAGATGTTCATGGCAGAAGCGGTGAGTGTGAACAGAGCTCACTGTTGGTGTGTGTGAATGGATCATTCAACAGGCCTGCTGCATGTAACACAACCCCCTGGGCTGAAATCACCTGCTAAGTAAGAAAAATTAATAATTTAGCAGACTTCTGTTCGAGCAAGACAACAGAATCACGTTACCCCTGCCTGCTAAGGAGTCCCGCCTGCTGCAGGGCTGCAGGTTTAGGACTACGGTTTAAGTCGGAATATTAAAAAAGCATTAAAATATTGTTTGCTTTGAACTCAGAAATAGTCTTCCCCGTCTCAGTCAGTTGACTGTTTCACCCTAACCTTGCCTCTCTCTATAATTCATAAACCACATGTAAAATTGAAGCAGAAGGCTATCGCCAAGGGCAACAATAAAAACTGAGATGTAGAGGTCATTTTCGGGCACGCAGGCTTGTAAACGCTAAAGCCGTCTTCTCTGGGAAGGTCCTGTGTGGCTGTTTGGTCCTTCATCCCAATGCCTACTCATTTTGAGAAACTCTTGTGAATGTTAGAAAATAAATAACAAGTTCATCACCTCCTGCTCTCATCACACGCCGTTTCCTCTGCAAGAAACTCCACTCCACTGCAACACAATACTCCTCTCCCATTTCCCTGCAGCAGTCATGGCACCACTTGAATCACTCATGCTTAAAATACATACAGACTTTCAACTAATCGCTGCATCTGCATCCACCAACCATCTGTAACTATGCAGCAAAAATTAAGATGTAATTTTTCTATTTCTTTGATATTCAGTATACTCAATCTGTTATGTGGCACAATGATACAACATTGAAACCTCTGTCCTTGCATCGTGTGTAGAGTTGTGTTTGTGTTTTCTACACCTTTGTGTTAACCTGTGACCTAAACAGAACCCACGGTGACGTGGTCTCATTATTATGGTGACTTGCTGATAAAGCAGTCTGCAGGTGTGCTAACAATAAAATATGAGGAATGCAGTAAAGCTCATTCACACTGATCCCGATAATGTCACTTCATTTTCGCTTGAACTGTCAAGCTGCATTTCTCAGCATAATCAACTCAACTTACTTTTTTTTATTTCATCAGTGAAAAGTTTATAAAACTGAGCTGTTCATTGAACTGTGAATTATGCACGTTCATCATCTTGCCCTCCCAGGAAAGCTGCAGGGCTGTCAAAAGGTATTTCTTTTCCTGTTTTTGATTTCTTGTCAGATCAGCAAACAGATTTTAATACCTGACCAAGACATCCTGTGTAAATATGAAGTGCAGCTTTAGTTTTTAGCGGAAAATCTATCCAACAAACCTGACTTTATGTTAAACTTCCTGGTTGTGACACCACTGGTGGCAAAGACTGCCACTTCATTGTTGAGAGGTTTTGGTATTCACCTTTAGAGATTCTGCAACACTGGCTGCTTTTCCATCATGACTGGACTGATTAAGGTCAAAGGTCAAACATATCCTGGTGGAGAACATAATTAATGATCAACAATTACAGTCAGTGGTCCAGGTCTTGAAGTAGCATGTCAGCCCCTAACCATCACACCACCACCACCATGTTTGACTGCTGGCATGATCCTCGTGAAGTACAGTTTGCTTCACTCAAGATGTAATGGGACACACACCATCTAAAGGTTTCTGGTTTGTCATGGAAGTCTAAGGAATATTTCCACTAGGAAATCATCGGGATGCTTTCTGGTAAATGTTAGACAGGCTTAAAGACAAAGTTCACTTGTTTTCTCAACACATTTGCGGTAGTCTCTAGCATAACTACTAGAGTTACTCTCTGGGGGAACAAAGCTTTTTCAATAGCACTTTTGTTTCAGGAACTAGACGTTAGCATTACTCATTATTATTTCCTGATATTTGCATAAGTGGACAGCGGGCCCCCGGCACGTGCTTGGGAGGGACCCGCCCCTGCAATGAGGCAGATGAAAGGGAACCCAAACCAAGTATGCAGGAAAAGCACTTCCATAACTTGTGTTCAGAGGAGAATGACTTCATTCTTAAAAACAATCCTCTCATGTAGATTTATTTAGGGCTCTTATGGGTTGCCCCAGTAAGGATTGAGTCATGATAGCTAAACATTTCACAAGACCGACTAATTATATTGATGCAGTAGGTGTAAAATATTGAATAAAAGGTTGTGCTGCATGACAGCCTTTATTTTTACTTTCACATGTATCTTTATAATCTGCTAATTTACCAGTGGATCTCCAAAACCATCTCCAAGTGTATTATGGGTAAAACTCATCACCAGCCGTCCACCAACATCATCATCACTTGTCAACAGATAGGTGGCGAAGCAGAAATAAATGTGGTCTCAGGGATTATTTCAGTTTTCATTTTCAAGACAGACTATTTAAGAGAAGCTGATCATCATTACAAGAGGCCATGCAACCACGATACCAGCTTGTTTGTCTCAGCCAGAGGCGACTCAGCCTTGGCCTCCATGGCCACAGGAAATGAATTTTTTTTCGTCTGCTGCGCCTGGAATGAAGGAGCTGTACGTGCAGCAGTGGTGATGCAAAATGTGGCCCCTTGTGGAGCACGAGTCGTATCGGGAGGGGTGGCGGTGGGTGGCCTGTGGACGGCTGATGTCTGAGGAGTGAGGACGGACACATTATTTTATCCGAAATCTTGGAAATTTTGACCAACAAATGACTGGAAGTGCTCAAAATTGGTCATATCAAGAATTTCCGCTAGGTGGGGGGAGGGGGGGCAACACAGACCCTAGAACATTGGGATTCTGCTAAAACGCTATTGTAACGTCATATTAGGATGGCAAACCAGCACTGAAGGACCCAAAATCCATGGGCCACCACTGCTAAAATTATGTTATCATAATCTTTACTGTTTGGTTTAAAGGGCCTGGTCGATTGCTCAGCCCCTGGCCCGGCTCTGATTTGTTTTGCCAGTGGTTCCACACCAAATCTAGTCATCTAGTCTCCATGTCATGCAGAGAACTGAATAATCAAAATGCGCTCTCTTTTTTCTCTAAAAGACCTCATCCAATCTAATTTCCAGCAGCAGTATACGGTTTTCACTAAGAATTGAGACTTATCTCTTGGACTGACTAGTGTTAAAATAGGAGAGAAAAAGGTTTTCATGTGTTTTCCTTTCTGCAAGAGTGAGAACTAAAGGCATTTATGTTAACAACATGCATTTTATAAGAAGAGACCGGAAACAGGTGGAGATGCTGACTCAGATAGAGTATGCAGCAGTAATCTCATTACAGATGTAAGCAGGCGCTTAAAGCTGCATTCACAAATGCCAACAGTTGTTTGCTGTAAAAATAAGCTGAGACAGATTCAAAATAACAAATGACGAGCAAAAACATTAAATAATGGTTTAGTATAACATGGAAAGGTTTCAGAATCAAAGCTGATTGTGAGATAAAAGCCACCAATGGTGAAAATGGATGCAAATGTTTGCAACTAAACAGAAAAAACCATTAAAGGAAATAAGAGGATTTTGCTATAGTTGATACCTGCATCTTGCGTAGCTGAGTGAGCTGTTTGCGTAGATCCATGGCATTTTGCTGCAGACCGTGTAAATGGAGCTTGATCTGCAGGCGCCCTACGCCATTCACGGGCGTTGTGTTAGACGGAGGGGGAGGCATCAGAGCTAGAGGTGCTGACGGTGTGTTTGCTGCCGATCACAAAGCAAGACATCGCTGGTCATTTGGAAACATAAGAATGATTTTGTTGGGCTGTGCTCCGGTGACGATCGAGACACAATTAGAACAATAACGAGTACATTCTTGGAAAATATGCCCAAAGAAATAAACAGCACATAAATGACAATCCAGTGAGAAAAGGCAACAAAAAGCTCCATATTCACATAACTCTTAAAAACTGGATTCATTTTTAGGTATTTAGGTGTGAAACAGCAATACCAAATGCTCTTTTATCTGGTTCTGTGAATATGGTCATTAGTTCATCGTTTATTTGAACACACACACTCCAAAAGTCCAGTGTGTGTGGGAAAAAAAAGAGAACACGTGAAAATTCCCAGGAAACACAAGTGGACAGTCCAGATTTAGAGACAAGAGGGAGAGGAGTCCGATCTCTGGGAAATCAGTCAGGAGGAAGAGGGCCAGATAAAAACACTGCCAGCTACCCAGCAACACCCATACAGAGGGCAGAGAGGGACGGGAAATGTCTGACAGGAAAAAATAACAAGGACTCAAAAAGGAGATGTCAACTACCTTTCTTCTTCGGCCATCCAGCTGGAAGAGAGAGTGAGCAAGTTACCAAGAAATACATATGGTGTAAAGCAACAAGTGTGTGTGTGTGTGTGTGTGTGTGTGTGTGTGTGTGTGGGGGGGGGGGGGGGGGGGGGGCTTAAAAAGTCATGTTCAGAGAAGAGAGGAGGTCATGGGAAACATTTCTCTAGATTACAGCTGAGAAAGTGACTGCAGGGATGATGTAGTTACACAATCTGATCCCATAAAGATCTGACGATGGAGATGATGTTTGATCTGGGCTACAGGAGTACAAAAACCAACCTTTTCAAATGTGATTTGCTGAAAAATATTAGAAAACCAAACATTAAAACCATACACTAAAGAGAAAACAGACAAATTGAATAAATGGATAAAACTGCCTCAAAGCTGTCTGTTTTATCTTCTCATATTTAGAGAGTTACAATTCTGCTGATTTGCTTGTTTATTTTATACCTCTCCACATCTTCAAAGCTTTTAGAAGAAATATTTTTATATTCCTGACAGCTTCATTCCCCTACCCTGTGTTTATGCTCAGGAAATTGCCCGCTGGTGGTGGTCGGAGGGAGAGGTGGCGCCAGTGCTCGGCAGCCTCGCCTCTGCCATTGCGCCCCAGGGCAGCTGTGGCTACATGGTAGCTCATCCCCACCAGTGTGTGAATGTGTGTGTGAATGGGTGAATGACTGATTGTGTTGTAAAGTGCCTTGGGGGGTTCCATGACTCTGGAAGGCGCTTTATCAAATACAGGCCATTTACCATCAGTATGCATGCTATTAGAACATCTCACCTCTGATTGGCTAACAGCAACACAACTCTTCCACTGTCTTTGTTTGCTCTTCTTTCTTGGGTAAAAAAATGCAATGCTGATGTTTTACCTCCATAAACACCACCGTGTTCTGGAGTTGGTAATGCTAACGGGCAGCTTCCACTAGCCGAGATGGGCCCTGCTCTTCCCTGGACGTTAAATCAACACAGTTTTCCGCCGCCAGCCAAGGTGACGTGACTAATGAATAATAATGTTCCCTGTGATGTAGAAGAGAGTGGCTTTCTGTGACTAGTTCAATCAAAGTAGGGGCTTCAGCATGAGCTCAGAAGAGTGACCGATCATATTTCAAAAAGAATGTTTTACTGTGAACCAACCCCCCCCCCCCTAGAAAGTTTTTATTTATGTGAAACTAAGTCACCTGCAGAAAGATTAAATGTGTGTTTAGGCTGCAGGTGTCACTTTATAAATGTGTTTATTTTCATTTCACTGCAAACAGAATAAAATGACTGCAGCAACAAGCAGCTCACAGACTGGTATCCTCCTTGATTCCCATGCTGTCCTCCTTCTCTGGAGGCCTCGATCACCACAGCATGTACAGGTTTAAGAGCAATGTTAGTGGGAGCACAAAACAGTTAAAATGTTTCCAAACCGCCCAGGGATGAGAACAGGAACAAAAGTGTTAGTGACACTTCAGTACACGGGTCTCAATTACTCATCTTACTCACTTCCAGTGGCGGAGCCGTCACTGTTAGTTTCGGTCTTCTCGCTGGAAGAGAAAGGCAATGGCCGTGAAAAGTCCGTCCCTTGGTCTGGAGGGCAGCCCGCCATCATGCAGAGACGAAGCAGGCCGCATCTGAGGATCAACGGCCACAGGGCAAGCCAATTACAGTGCTAACGCCAATAGCAGCACTAGGAGATACTAGAAGACTGCTGACAATCACGTTATCCTAATCAAGCCCTGTTATGTACATGAGGGAGGATGGCTGGACATGGCGAATGTGAGGACATCAAACTCTTACACAGTGAATCAGACAGCAGATCAATAGCACTGTCGCCTGCAGCGGATGTTTAGTGGTTTCTACTCATCTTGTCCTCACTCAAGGTAGTGCAGCACTTCACAGCTATGCAGCTGATAATGGATCTGATAATGGGCTGCTGCTGTTGCTGTCGATACCGCTGCCTATGTGTTGAAGCTAAAGCAGTATTTGTGACTTCTGGGAGACTAATGGGGTACAATAAAGGGTCTTACGTGCTGTCGCTGTCTGGTGCTCTGGTCAGCACACTCTGGACAAGGCCGGTCAGGCTGGCTATTTGCTTCTCCATGGCCTCCATACGCTCCAGGCGATGGTCCCTGAAAACATGAAAACACAGATCATAAAGCTATTAAACCTGCACAAAATAACACACTTCAATAATGGGTACAAAAAAAAGACAGTTCAGGTGTTTTGAAGTGGAATTTTCCATAGAAGTATAAACAACCTCGGTTTGGAAAACCAGATTAACACTGATCAGAAAAAAACAGCAAATCAGCACGGTGACACAAAAAGGTCTTAAAATTAAATTCTATTTCATTCAGTTCATTTATAAAGCGCTAAATCACAACAGGAGTAGTCTCAAGGCTCGTCACATAGTAAACATACCAGTACAGATCAGTTCATTAAGCCAATCAGTAAAAAGTTTCCTGTATAAGGAACCCAGCAGGTTGCATCAAGTCACTGACTAGTGTCAGAAACTTTACAGCAATCCTCATACTAAGCAAGCATGCAGCGACAGTGGAGAGGAAAACTCCCTTTTAACAGGAAGCAACCTCCAGAGGATCCTCACTCAGTATAAGCAGCCATCCACCACTAAATGGTCTTTAAATGATGTCATAGCAGTTCATGCTTAACTATATTTTCACATTTAAACTGCTTTGCTTTTTCTATTTCTGTCATGACTTTAGTTCCTGGACTGTTTCCATGCCTTTCTACACCTAATCAGCCATGTTCACCAGATTCCGCCATGTTTTAAGCTCCCAGCAGCCGCAGCTCCAGTGCCAGATCAGCTACGTCGTTCATGAAGCTCACAGATGTCCAGTCACAGCAGGTCAAGCCAAGTAAGTCAAGTCAAATCAAGCTGAAGTCATTTCTAGTCAATTTATTCAAGCCATGTCAAGTTCAGTCAAGTTACCAAGTCATGTACTTCCACCAAGTCAAGTCTGCTTTTTAAAATCCTGCAAATCCATTCAGGCCATGTCAAGAATCTTGTCTTTCTGCAGTAAATAAACTTTATTTTTTCTTCCATTCTCTGTGTTGGCTGAATCCTTTGAATCAGTCTCCTGAATTTGACAATGTCATGTGTTTTTTTTCCCTGTAGGAACCATTCCACGGGCAAGATACTGAACACTGAAGCTGTCCCCCGGGCGCAGTACAAACCACAGCCTACTGCTCCTCAGTGATGAGCCAAATGTGAAATCCTTTTGCCAAGGGGATCAATAAAGTATAAATTATTATTGTTGCTACAGGGCCCACTCAAAGTGGCTGTTAGCTCATATTTCAGGTCTGAATTAACCACCATTTATCTAAACTGAGGCCTTTCAAACAGCTACATCAGATATTTGTTGTTGATGCCATCTCCACCTGCAGAAGAACTTTGAAAGATCTAAACGACTTCATTCACACAAAACTGCACAATTCCACGTTTTCACTGTCTGCTGATTTTCTGTTTGTTTTAGCGTCAACAACGGGGTCAGACAAGGAAACGTTGTGTCTCTTCTTCCGTTTAACGTCTACATGGATGTTCTGTCAAGTGACTGTGGAGCAGGATCGCTGAGACTGTAATCAACCACTTGATCTACATAGATGATTTAGTGATCTTCTGTCCATGCTAGCCTTCAATGGTTACTGAGGGTCTTCTCCCAATACGGTTCAGATTACAATCTTCTAATTGTAGATCAAAGAGGGACAGTGAACTGGAATTTTCTGACTTCTTTTCATTGGGTGTTCTGAATGTGTGTACTGTGGCGAGGTACTTTGGACACTGCATATCTGCTGATCTCACTGATGATGTGGACATTTACAGATGGCGCTGCCTTATTGTATGCACATGCTAACATGCTGATGTTTGGTATGTGCTCTGTATTGGTGAAAGCTGAAGTTTTAAATCACACTATGTATGCACACTGCCTATCTATAGAAGCACCAACAATGCAGCATGCGTAAACTCTCTGTTGCGTACAAAGATGAGGTGAGCTTAATGCTTATATTGCCGAGATGGTGCAGTGCAAATCTAATTTTTGTGAGTGCGTGCCCACGAGTGATGCTGCACTGGAGGATCTCGTGTACAGTTGTATGTGTAGGTTAATGGAGTCTAAAAACAGCATAATCCTTACTCTGAAAAAGCTTGCACGGAGTTCTGTCAAGTTTTATTCTGAAATGTGGAATCTTTAGGGTTTTAGTCTCTATGTAAGTTTTTAGCACTGCTTTTTATCACCTTATTTCTTTTAAACCTTGTGAAATGGACCTATTTGTGTGTTTTTGCTACAGTCAATTTACTACTACTACAGGAAATTAGCTTGTTTGGTCACTAAAAACTTTGTTCAGTTTGAATAAAAACAAAACATAACTGCAGAATTCTTAAAAATGACTCTGTCTATGTTGGTAGGTGTTGGGACGTTCTTCTTCAGGGCTCTAAATAGTCATTTAAATAGTCATACTGACCTACTGGTTTCTGCATCTTGTCCAGATAAAGAACCAAAGCCACCCCTGCTTCCATCTCCTGGTACACCTGTGAGGCACAAGGGCTCTGAGCCGGAGCTGGGCCTGGACTTTGGACTCTCCACAAGCACGGAGGAAGAAGCAGAGTCTTTGCGGAAACTCTGCCTGACAGGTGAAGGCCTTGGTGAACTGGAGTAAGAATCCCTGTCCCTCAGCTGCATGTCTGGGATTTTTTGTGGAGATGAAGGCGGCATGCGAAAACCCATCCCCAGGGTGGCGGAGGAGTATGTGTCAGAGTAGAGTGAACCGCCGGGCTTATAAAACGCATCGTCCAGGTCTCCCTGGAGAGCAGCAGCTGAGTAGGTGCTGAGGGAGCGAACAGAGCCGCGACGGTACAGCCCGGTGGTAACAGGGTAGCTGAAGGGGTCACCAATGGTGGCCAACGACTGGGTGGAGGCAATGCTGAGACGGCCCTCGTTCATCAGGCTGTAAGGGTCTGCGTACAGCCCCTCACTTTTCATTAGAGCCAACTTCTTAGCAGAAACTTCCTCGTCAGGCTTGACATCACGGCGCTCCAGGATGGCACTGGGTGAAGGAGACAGACCGGCGTTGACACCGTGGCCAGCTGCGTGATGGTGTGGATGTCTGGGCTGCTCGTGTTGGGGATGGTTCCCGGAGAGGGAAGGAGGGCGACCCCCGCTGTAGGAGAGGCGTGAGCGGGACGGAGAGCCAGAGGATGCTGAGGTTGTGGAGGATGGGAGGGTGTTAAGGCGGCGTGTTGGGGAGGATTCATGAGAGGAATACACCATTTCTCTCTGGAAGGAACAAGAGAAGATAGGCGTTACCATGGAGACCTAGCAATGAACGTACAGTGTTTCTCGTGTGCGTTTCTGCTTCTATTTGCACCTGCAGAGCAGGTGGTTACAACCTGCAGGTGCAAATAGAAGCAGATGAACCCTTCAAATCACAAATTATATGTCTATTTGCAAATTGTAGACTGTAAAAAATAAAGTGCATCTTTTCTGTTCGTTATTTGGGCAAATAGTGCACAAATAATTTGGATGAATATTGTACAATAAAGCTATGATCAGATAAAATGAATCATCTAACCTTAACAGAGAAAAAAAAATCCATGCTCACCATCAAGGAAGTCTCATTTCCTCTGGTTGTCTGTGTAGAAGATCAGTCCTTAACCTGCCTTTTCTGGTTTTAGTCTTGTTATGAAATAACTCAGGTAGAAATGCTCCTTATTTATTGAGCCTCCAGGAGCTAAAACCCAAGGTTTTCTTTGACACATGACAAGATTTGGTTCTTATCTCATCCCTCTCCTTTCTCATCTTTTCATTTATTTTTGAACACACCGCCAACAATGGCAGATCATTAGTTTTCCATCCTCGGGACAAACGGACCCAATTATTTTCTGTCATTAATCGAAACGTAACTGTGTCAGTTACGCTTTTTCCCTCTAACACAATGCAATGAACATGAATGTGTGCATGCTTAAACTCACACACACACACAAACATTTTTCACTGCTTGTCTTGCATGGTTAACAGCAGTTGTATTCCCAGTTTTGTGTGAATAATGCAGATGGTAAGCAAGGTTTGTATCAAATAATTAAAAAAATACATCTCCCTCAGGGTTCCTTGATCTTTACTGAAGCAGAAATAGCTTCAACTGTTAAAATATGCTCATTTTCCTGAGGAAAATGGTTCTCTGCCGTCTGCACAGCAACAGATGGCCTAATGGAAGATGAAAAATACATTTCCAGAGGGAAAAGCTGTTACATTACTAACCCCAGTGCCTGATGTAGAGTGCAAAGTTACTACTGCTAAAAAAAGACACAAAATCTTTGTCAAAAAAGGCTCACAAATCATCTACTTGTGCAGCAGCTTTTACAGATTTCTAGTTTTGAAAAATCAAAAACGTGCAGGAGTTCAGATAAGAGTAACCCAGTTTGGCCTTTTCACCCCTGCTCCCCTCTGCTCACCCTCAGGTCTCCGTTAGCCAGGTGTGCGGTAGCGGGGTAAGACGCATAAATGGGCTCTTTGCGGTAAATCTTGATGATGCTGCGGTCCTGAATGTCCCGGATGTCCTCCAGCTCATAGAAGACATTTCGGGCCTCGTCTTTGATCAAAATCGCCGTGTTGGGAGACTTTAGCATACCCGCTGTCAACTTCTGAGGGAACATGTGCACGATGAGAGCGTGCAACGTGTCCATGCTGCTCAGCTCGTGGGTGATGTGAACCCGACGTGTCTCATCTCCATACTGCAGGAACAGCACGCCTAACAGACAGGAGAGGCGGTTGAGTCAGACGCCGTTTAAAAGACGAAAAAATTAATTAGGAAACACAACATTCAGCCACATTTTGTGCCTCCTTGTATAAAAGATCTGAATAAAGGCTTTTATAATGAAACGTCTTGACTAAAGAATCACTTTTAGAAGCCAGTTGATGACTGACATCTAAGTTTGAGGGAAAAAAATGTTACTCGCTATAAATAATCTAGTGACAAAAGCTGTTAAATACCATGAAAATAGCTTGACTTCATTAAAAAAACACAACTCGTGTTTAATGATGAGTACAATGCCTGACTAACCTGATAATTCATCTTCATACATGATGGGACAAACAAACAGGGCAAAGAAAGAACAAGAATTACAACTTGAGGAAAATATAACAGCTACTGCAGACAGGTCTTAGACACAAGAATGGAAAAAAGACAAGGTTAGTTTAAAGACAGTAGTTCTGTTTTAGAATGCCCACCTACGTGTTCATGAGGCTAACCCTGTATAGACAATAAACACCCCATGGCTGCAAATACAGGTGCTGGCCAGTAAATTAGAATATCATCAAAAGGTTGAAAATATTTCAGTAATTCCATTCAAAACGTGAAACTTGTACATTATATTCATGCAATGCACACAGACCAATGTATTTCCGATGTTTATTACGTTTAATTTTGATATTTATAGGTGACAACCAATGAAAACATCAAATCTGGTATCTCAGAAAATTAGAATATTCTAAAGGCCAATGAAAAAATGTTTGTTTCTCTAATGTTGGCCAACTGAAAAGAATGAACATGAAAAGAATGTGCATGTATAGCACTCAATACTTAGTCGGGGCTCCTTTTGCCTCAATAACTGCAGTAATGCGGCGTGGCATGGACTCGATCAGTCTGTGGCACTGCTCAGGTGTTATGAGAGCCCAGGTTGCTCTGATAGTCGTCTTCAGCTCCTCTGCATTGTTGGGTCTAGCGTATTGCATCCTCCGCTTCACAATACCCCATAGATTTTCTATGGGGTTAAGGTCAGGCGAGTTTGCTGGCCAATCAAGGACAGGGATACCATGGTCCTTGAACCAGGTGCTGATGGTTTTGGCACTGTGTGCAGGTGCCAAGTCCTGTTGAAAGGTGAAGTCTGCATCCCCATAAAGTTGGTCAGCAGCAGGAAGCATGAAGTGCTCTAAAACTTCCTGGTAGACGGCTGCATTGACCCTGGACCTCAGGAAACAGAGTGGGCCAACACCGGCAGATGACATGGCACCCCACACCATCACTGACGGTGGAAACTTTACACTGGACCTCATGCAACGTGGATTCTGTGCTTCTCCGCTCTTCCTCCAGACTCTGGGTCCTTGATTTCCAAAGGAAATGCAGAACTTGCTTTCATCAGAAAACATAACTTTGGACCACTCAGCATCAGTCCAGTCCTTTTTGTCCTTGGCCCAGGCGAGACGCTTCTTGCGCTGTTTCTTGTTCAAGAGTGGCTTGACACACGGAATGCGACACCTGAATCCCATGTCTTTCATGAGTCTCCTCGTGGTGGTTCTTGAAGCGCTGACTCCAGCTGCAGTCCACTCTTTGTGGATCTCCCCCACATTTTTGAATGGGTTTGTCGTCACAATTCTCTGCAGGGTGCGGTTATCCCTAGAGCTTGTACACTTTTTTCTACCACATTTTTTCCGTCCCTTCGCCTGTCTGTTAATGTGCTTGGACACAGAGCTCTGCGAACAGCCAGCTTCTTTAGCAATCACCTTTTGTGTATTGCCCTCCTTGTGCAAGGTGTCAATGATTGTCTTTTGGACAGCTGTTAAGTCAGAAGTCTTCCCCATGATTGTGGTGCCTTCAAAACAAGACTGAGGGACCTTTTAAAGGCCTTTGCAGGTGTTTTGAGTAAATCAGCTGATTAGAGTGGCAGCAGGTGTCTTCTATATTCAGCCTTTTCAGAATATTCTAATTTTTTGAGATACCAAATTTGGAGTTTTCATTAGTTGTCACTTATGAATATCAAATTTAAATGTAATGAACATTGGAAATACATTGGTCTGTGTGCATTGCATGAATATAATGTACAAGTTTCACGTTTTGAATGGAATTACTGAAATATTTTCAACCTTTTGATGATATTCTAATTTACTGGCCAGCACCTGTATGTGCTAGTTGTGCACAAGAACACAACAATAACCCCAAGCCTGTGTGATTAACTCTTTTACAGCCCAATTAATTCTATAGCAACAATATTATTTGGGTTTATTCCTTCGTAATTATAATAAACTCATCTTGAAGTTCTTCAGTTTTAAATCATGGTTTGACTGGACATGAATACTTTGAGTCATCTGCACATTCAAACATGTTTTAAATAATTAAATGCACCTTTTTTCTAACTAAACTGGGTGTTTATGGTAATATATTGAGACTTTGAGACGTGACCAGCAGTAAGACAAAGTAAAGGGTAAGATCTTCCTTCAGTCTACCCGTCCTGCTGGGACACAGCCCACCAGAACCAGCTTGGACCTTTTACCTGGAGACCGTAGCTTGTTCTGGCTGGCTGAGCGAGACAGGGGCAGGCTCTGGCGGAATCGGTTCATCCGGTTGAACCCTAGAGGAATGTCTGCTTCTGACATGGTCTCCAGGGACTCAGCGGAGGCAAAGGAAAGCTTGGCAGCCTGGTCGGCAAGCCCAGACTGGGTGGACTGGGAATGTCGTGGGCTGCGGCTCTGCAGAACAAGAGGACACACAGGCAGATACAATAATTCAGTGAGGGGTGAAACTGAGGCAGGCAGAATGGATTTGACATGGCTAATGGTGGAACACCAACCGGGAGAAGCAGGGAACACATAATTAGACATGACACAACGAGCCTCCTAACAAGATTCTGCAGACCTTGACAATAGCTTTAGCTACCAGCTGGTAACTGAACATAATTGTGTTACAGTATGAAACACAAGCTGAATGAAGTCATATTACACTTTGTGCTTCATACTATGCAGATTTGAACAGTTATAAAGTTATGCTCTGTTTTCCTGGAGCCTCACGTGTGGCTCCAACCCTCTGCACCTTACCAACTTTTAAATGAGCACTTGTGGGATGCGAGGAGAAGCCCATGCAAATCTCAGACTGTCGCTGTGGGTTTATCGTGCTGGCTTACACCCAGGTGTCTCTCACCAAAAGACTGTTAGCACAACTGAAGCTGAGCTCACTGAACTGGTTCCTCGCCGCTGCAGCGCTTCCTCCAGCTCAGAGGCTGCTGTAATGAGCTCCCAGAATGCCTTCTGCTGATCGTTCCTACGGAAGAGGCAGGCACGTCCTCGGCCACAGTGTAATAGCTGGGCCTGTCTCCTTGTCTTTGAAGCATGAACACAACGGTTGTCACCGCTTCATCTCCCTCCCTCTGCTTGAATCCTGCTGCTGTGTAAATCCACTGTTGCTTTTATTAATGTTGTGTTTAATTAAAGGGAGAGTTGCTTTGGTGGCACAAAGGGGCATCTCTATGTTCACAGACTGGAAACAGGAAGTTGTTTGAAATTATTCACAAACACACTAAACTTGACAAAGGGAACCATGATGCAGGAACATTGCTTTCATCTCACTATACTACAGATTTAGTTATTTTTATTATTGTTTTGAATAACTGGTTATAAATCAGAATTCCCATACACAAAAGCATCTGACCTGCAGTCAACAGACATCTAACCGCTTCAAAAGGTCATCCTGGGATGTTGTCCTTTGGATCAACTCCATTGAACAAGGCTGTCACAGCAAATTGACATAGCACGAAAATGGCCAGAGGCACACTTGGCACATTTGCTTGCTTTTAGCACCCGCTTGTGTCCGTTAATAATTCTCTCTGGTCGAAACGAAGGTGAAACTTATCTCCTCACTGTGCGTTCATCTTATTAACACCTTAATCTAACAGCTGAAATGTCTCCCCATCCTTCATTAGTGTCTACAGGAGGGCTTCATCACTAATTTTGACAGGTCAGCTGTGTTCATGATCTAAAACGTGCAGAAAACATGCTGAAATCAGACTGCATCGTCAGGTATGTCAGCTCCAAGTCCAACAAGTGGCGGCCCGCTAGTCTGAAGTTGCAATTGTGGTATTCTGGACGCAGGGTGCGGTGGGGTCTGAGTGACATTTCATTAACCTTGTGAAGGGTCATTTTAGCACATTCTGGCTCAAGAAAATTATTAAAAAATATGAAAAAGTTGTACAGTATGGCTTTAAGAATTTTGGACTCAAATTTGGTGTCAGGGTTAGGAGTGTAACAACACATCTATGATATGGTCATCAATCAAAAATGCAAAAATCAACATTTATCAAAAGTCCTTTTATTGTGAATATTCCTTCATTTTGTTCAAGTTCTGCTGTCATGCTATTTTCCACTTGTTCCTGCGCACCACCAAACCTGTCAAATGAAGAAGCTAGCAGCGTCATGGCGAGCAGTGTGCAAACAGCCAGTGAAGAAATCGTTGGATATAAACTCGTTGTGTTGTTTTGGTTGGTGGATCCTGCATCAAATCAGTGGTATTGTGACAGAATCTAAGATATCAGCAAACGTGGAATCATAACCCACTGAATCGATATAATGTTGTATTGCGATCAAATTTACACCCATAGTAAGGGTAACTAAAGCCTCTTTTATAAGACACACCATGCCAGCAAATCGGCGTAATATTACCGCAATGATATGTCTATAAACGCGCCATGCCGGCATGGCGTTGCGCGAATTTTGCGGCATTCGTTCCGCCTCGCTTGGTAGTAATATTGCGGTAATGGTCTGTCGTATGCGCCCTGGTGCAACAGAGGCAGATGTCATGATGACGTGGGGAGTTATTGCTGAGCTCCGGCTGGCAAATTTATTGAAAATGAAAGTAAACACAGGCGGTAAGGTTTGCTTTTTGAACAAAGTCAGCTTAGATGGCAAACTGGAGTGCCGCAGCGCTGCATGAGCCTCTCTGTTAGAGCTGAAGCTCAGGTCACCAGAGACTGCACAGGGACTGATGGGGACAGACGCCTTTAGGAGCTGCTTGTTAAAAAACACTTAACGATCATGGCTTCAATCGCAATAAAAAGCAAGTTATGTCCCAGATGAACGGAAGTCTGCGGCAGCGCAGAGACCGCCCCCATACCCCCTTTATGCCACCATCACCTAGTCTTTTATAAAATTGCCACGATTGCGCCACATTACCGCCACGGTCTGATCTTATAAACCACCTTTATCCTCCCCAGGAAGCCGTGGCAAATCCCGTTTTGCAAACGCTATGGTCCTGTAAAAACGGCTTAAGAGTCATCACTAACGCATACTCGTGGCACTAACTGCTCATACAAGATCTTTGTTTCAAACTGCGCCATAAATTCAACCATGATTCTCTTTAGCAACACATCTTATGAACCAGAGCTATTCAATTCTGGACCTTGAGGGTCGGTATCATTTTGGTTTTAAACCTGCTTCAACACTGCTTGATTAACAGACTTCTGCAGAGCCTGATGAGCTGTTGCACAGATCATTCAACTACTGAATCTAGTGTGTTGGAGCAGAGAAACCACCAAAAGGTGCTGGATACTAGCCCTCCAGGCCCAGATTTGAATAACCCTGTTACAAACCACTGGATTACTTATGATGAAACTTTCAGAAAGCAGTGATTAAACATACAAGTAACTAACTCTAGTCGGCTCAATTCAAGATGGCCACCATAGCTAACTAACCAAAAACACAAAAATAGTTCTGACTCAGTCAATTTTACGCATGTTGACCCAAGATTTGGAGATGTGCAGTAGTAGCCAAAAATCTTTCTTAACGCACTCCAAACAAGATTTGCTTAAAACGTTGGGATTAATTATTAAAGACAACTATTGGTCTGTTAGCAGAATATCCCTTTTTTTAGACAATCCAATTCAAGATGGCAACAGCTAATCAACCGTAGAAAACCCAACAATAGATACAAGTCTTACGGTTTACACACACTGAGTTAATATGTGATAAAGTCGTATCTGGGAGTCATCAGCAAGGCTGAGTACTAAAAGATTACATGAGATTGTGTGTAAAATAATGCATATAGTTCATAGATCGTAGCTAAAACGTTAGCCTGAAAGGCAGGGGATGATATTCTGTCTTCCAAGGAATTTCCTTTTTTTAGTTGAATGTGCCAGACTATTTAACCAGACTTACTGATCTTTTATTTCAATAAAACCTTTATTGGCTACAGATCTCATTAGTTTAACAGTGATGCTTTCTAAACTCAGGGTCAGCTTGTTCATTTAAGCACATTAAGCACTTAATGAAAGGAAAACATGACTGTGGGTGGGAGCAGAGGTATGCAGTTTTTCAGCTTTTTCCCTTTTTATGTTTTACATAGCTCACCTCGATAATAATGATTATATTCAATGTGAAACAATGTTTATTTACCAGAGTACCATGCAGAAGCGTTCAGATTCTTACTGTGGGACTTTATTTTTAGGTTCTTACTACTGTCTCGTGACTTTTTCAAACAAGGTGTAACGTAAGAAATGAGCAGAAGACAACAGGAGGCCATTTGTACTGTGTTTGACCACAGCTTTTATAAAAATGTCCTTCTATTGTATGAAACCACATGTGCAGTACTCTTACCAGGTGAGTGGAAACAGGCCTGTAGGTGTTCATAATGTAATGTCACAGTTCCTTTGACACCATCATACATAATTTAGTCCCACACCCACACACACAGAATCCAAAGGTAGAGCTGGCAGACGTTGTTGGAGCGCTCAGGGAAACAGTGATGCTGAAAGATAACCCCACCATGTTTTCTAATACGGTCATTTATCTAAGCGGTGACCACACTGAAAACCAACACAGCCAGCAGCATCACAGGGGAACTGCTGATGCTGCTAAATACAGTCGAACACTGGGATTGTTAAGAGGAAAATGAGCATATTTATGTATGAATATTAAAACTTGATACCCTGAGGAATCGCCTGGGAATTTTCTTCACAATTCCATAAAACAAAAACACATTTTTTGCATGTAAATCCTGCAGGATTAGAATTACTTTAGTGTTACTGGTCATAAGAATGCTAATATGATCCTAAAGGGTAGCACCTATTCGCTGACCAAATCCATGTTTCAGTCGAATTTGTTTCCAGGCAACTGAGACTAACCAGGAAAAGTTCACGTGACCCACAACAAAGAAAAAATAGTTCTTTTATTCTTTATTTTGTATGAAACGAGAATAAATTTAGTCATATTTCAAGACGAAGTTTGGACAGCATCAGATATTCTGAGTCCTTCAGTGTTTGCGCTCAGACATGCCGATGTTTCCACATCGACATGATGTTAACTGTACAAGATGAAGAATGCATTGGCTCATTTTAAATATGTTGAGACTTTAGAGAGTATGTCAGGTTTTTAGAGCCAGATAATAAACACAAGTGGACGCTAATTCAGTTTCATGCCTGTTCAAAACAAACCATCAGTCTTACTCTGTTAGTGTAGCACCTGAAAAAGCCATTCATAAATGAGAATGTTTAATTCATGTTACAGTTACTTAACCTAGTTTCAGCTTTGTAGGAACCAAAAAAACTTGGGATGTGTCAAATATACAGTAATACATGAAGAAACATGAAGCTACAATTTACCACATTCAGCTTAGAATGTTAAAGACAAATATCTCAAATCTAATTCAGATGTTTAAAGTCGTGGTTAAAGATTATGTTTATGTTTATGTTTATGTATTTAGCAGA